TCATTATCTGACAGGCACCCAGGGATGGCGTTTAATGGTTTTGGCAACCAGCCCAGCTAAGTCATTTGCCTGCCGGCTCCATACCCTCTCCACAAGGATGCATCAAAAATGAGGTGATGAGGACAACTTGAAACACATGCAGACTCAAGTAAGAGCAGATTCTGTAAAGTCCCGTGGAGCACAAGGTGATTTCATAAAACTATTTCAAAAAAATTTTTCATACTCTGCACACAGTATGTTGACAAAGCATGCCAAAGTTTGGCAGGTTACTTGTTCAGAGCAGAACAAGAGGATTCTGGGAGACATGTAAATTTTCGTTTTCTTGTGTGTTTTCATGTGTAATACTCTACACTATGTGTGCAACTGTGTAATTGGTGTTTACCAGGCAAACACTGGTAGAAACCTCAATGTCATTTTATACATATGTATATACAACTCACCCCCTAATTTAGTGCAGTGATGTTGATCAAAGTCATAAACAGTCAATCCAGAGAATCCACTCTACATGTGTTGTCTATGCTGTGTGCATATACAAATACAAATACTGTGTGCATATTTTAATTAGGTATATGTTCTTCACACATTAGGCAATAGACTTTGTCTTGTCGAGACAATGATGAGCACGACTGTGCTGGCTTAATTGGTGAATTACTAGCTACCTCACATTTCCAGCTGCCTGTAATTTAGCCTGACGCTAATTCTTGCTGGTAGTCATATTGATGCGGCATGCTGCCACTCTGTCACCGATTCAAACCATAATACCATTTATTTACAAGTCATGGTTTATCCGTACTGAAGGCTCTAATTTGACAGATTCAGAAGAGACTGAGTGGAATCTGTAACCATAATGAGCATGCTAGTTCAGTCAATCAACAGTGTGTTCTGCAAAGACCGTTAAAGCTCAAAGCCCTTCAGAGGTTTGTGAAACTACAGTATGCGTGGGCTCTTGCTTTAGCCTTGCACTACTAAACAGAACAAGCTGCAATGAGTTGTTATGACACTTTGTTACCCTTTTATTCGCACTGGAATTGTTAATTGACTTTCAAAACCACAAGGGCCATCAATGCCCACTCATAATAGAGATGCTAGTTTTCTGGAAATAAAGCATTTCCAATTCCAGGAAAGTTGCGGATAAAAACAGTTCTCAACAAGGAGGAGCAATGATTTGCATAACTTTGACAGAAACAACATCCATGAATGCGTTGCATGTCAACTGCCTTCTGTTTATTACTGTTGAAATATTCCATCCATTCTTTTAATGAAGAAACCAGCAGTCACAGGGGCTGAACAAGTGCTGCATGTTATAAATGCACTGTTCACCAGCTGCCATTGACTTGCATTGATCCTCACCTTACTTAGAGTAATGTGACGAGTACCCAGCTGCAAACCTCACAATATAACACCATCAATTGATTTGTATCTGTATTTGTATCTGTTGTTTTTGTCTTTTTCCAATAAGATACAAGGTAGCTATCGCTGTTAGGGGTGGGGTGGGGTGGGGGGGTATGGTTGAGAAGGAATATGGCATAAAGAGATATTCTCCAGCAGAAATAAAAAGAAAAGAAGCGATGACGCTTGGCATGGTCAGTCAAGTTGGAGGAAAGAAAGGCTTTGGGGCAAAAACGAGATAAAAACATAAAAGTGAAGGAAGGATGCAGAGAGGGCTGGTGGATACTGATATTGCCCTAATGAGGTGATGGAGGAAATGCGGGAGGGTTAAAATAGTTGGAGGAATACAGTTAAGGGGATGAGTCATAGGGCACATGCCTAAGGTGGAGGAAAAGGCAGAGGAGCTGTGGGAGTATGAGTAGGGTGGGAAGGAGGAGGTGATGGGGAGGAGGAGAAGGACATTTAGATTGATGAGTCATCACACGCAGGAGATAGAGAAAGAGAAATGGAAGAATGGATGGATGAATAACCAGAGATGAAAGCTGAGGGGAGGAGGGTTATTCCTGTAACCTTTCAAGCAAGCAGGAGTGGTGACAAGTTGGCTGGATGACTGCTGGCACCGACACAACATAACACCCGCGACACAATCTATGATGACTTGTTGGGACGGATGGACAGACGGACGGATGGACGGACAGACATTGCCACCATATGTTGCTATGTCAAGACCGTTATTTCTAAGGCTTCTAACATGGTGTCCATAAGTGTGTAAAGTACCATCTATGGGAGGTCTTTCCATAATGACTGCTCGCTCTGCATGATGAAAGCAAAAATAGATGGAGTTAGGTCAAGGGAGAAGTATACACACACACACGACACCCATTTGACTGCTTTTACTTTATTTCTCTCACACAGCTCAAAAACACAATACATCCATATACAAATATTACACTAACTCCCAAACTGTGTCTCTTTTTTAAACATCCACACAAATAGTGACTCTTCATCTTGACTCCAAGGTCTTAGGCTATTGACTATGGGTGCCACAAGGTCAACTGCAAGGGATAGATAGAGATGACAGATAGGCAGTATTAGTAATATATTGCACTTGCACAGGAGTCAGTGTAAGGGTGTCATATTGTCTGCCATAGAGCAGCAGCACATTTATAATGCTTTGGAAGGAAGCACACAATCTGTGATATTTTATTCTTTGGAATCTGATGTTTAAATCTTCATATTTCTCTTTTCACAGAACTGCTAAATGAGGGGGAAAATCCAAACACTTACTAAGCTCACTTTTGGGCCAATGGCATAGTGCATTGTGTGTTACGTGGGTGGTGTGGGGACAGAGAGGACCCAAATGCAGCGCTCTGAGCGAAGGAGGTTTATTTAGGGAAAAAGGGGGTTGAGGGACTGGAGTGGAGGGAGAGGTGGATGCCGGGGAAACACTGGCACAGGGAAACCAACGGGACTGGCAACACTGGGGCCAAGGAAGGGAGGACGCCACGGGGGAAGCCCGAAGAGCAGAGGTCCGGAGAATGAGCCCAGCCGACAGAACGGATGACGAGGGTGAGTGAACCTGGAAGGGAAAACAGACAGAGTTAGTGACTAGAGCGACAAAATACAGGGAAAATGATAAAAAACAAAAAACATTAGAGCCTGAACGCAGAGGTGGCACTGGGTATGGAGCAACGACGATCAAGCAAGAATGGTGTGGAGAACCGGGGTTGAAATACAGGCAGGGATGAGGTTGACTACTGGCAGGTGTGGCAGGCTGACGAGGTGGCTGATGAGGTGCAGGTGCGGGTCGTTGGCTGGGCTCAGGAGCAGAGGGAGAGAGGAGGAGAACACAGGGAGGCAGGCAGGGAAGAGAAAACCAAGGAAAAAGCAGAATAACTGATAAAAAGGAGAGAAAAAACCAGGACACTCACTGTCAGCCGGGCTGCCACCACAACATTGTGTCTACTGAAAAGCCAACTAAAAATAGAAAAACATGGAAAAGATTACACTTTGATTCAATTCACTTTAATGGCCACAAAGATAGGGTAGTGGAAATTTATTCTGGTACAGTGTGAAACTGTTCCATTAACATCACATGGCTACAATCACATCAAATGTCACATTACAAACATACCGTAACACAACAGTTACACACAGATTGGTGAGGGAAAATAAATGGCTACGAAGCTAAGGAGCTTAGGCTGTGGAAAGTTGTTCATCCTGAAGGTCACATGAACATCTGTACAAAATTCCATGGTAATCCATTCAATAGTTGTTGATATATTTCAATAAAAGGAAAATGTCAACCTCATAATGGTGGTAGATGAAAGGTTAGGGGATTACCAATGTCATTAGGATTCATGCTCATGGAACCATAAATGTTTTTACTAAATGTAGTGTTGTAGTCAAGACTGCCCAAACCGAGACCAAGTCAAGACCAAGAACAGAGTTTATCAAGACCGAGACAAGACCAATACCTTTAGGGGCTGAGACCAAGTTGAGACTAATGGCGCGTTTGAGACCGATTGGAACTGGGATATTTCCCAGTTGAAACTTCCAACTTCCGACATCAAAGCGTTCCAGGTGCATGGTGGTGCATGACGACGAAAGTGAACGAAAACCATGGCTGACCGTGACAAAGTGGACACACAGTTGCACCCTCAGCAGTGTTTTAGGTGTTACTTCAAAGGATGGCAGTTTAACTGCAACAACTGACATAAAAAGCCAATATGTTACTAGTTAACTGCGTACCCCTCTAGCCACATCAGTTGGTAACCCTCAAGTCAGTCAGTGTTGAAGGTTACACTTCCTAATGTTTTGGCATTTTTAACAATAACTTTTATGCAGAGAAGATGACTTTATGAGATTCTTTACTGTAGCCAGCTACCTAATACATATTTCTACATCAATGTACATGCAGAACAGGTTTTACTATATGATCGTATGTATTATTTCAATTTACATACATGCAAATATACTTTATTGTCTTTTAGTTTATGGTTGACCATTTACAGTGTGTGCTTCCATGGGAGCTGACATTGTTTTGTGACGTAATTCAGCTGCTACTCGTGAAGTCGGGGTACATATTTTTTCTCCGAGGAAATCCGACTTCAAGTGGCGTTCCAGGATAGTTTTTCTAGACACACAAGAAAATGTGGAACGAGATCATAGGTACTTCTCAAATTGATCTGACACCCACGTACAAACAATTACAGCTGAAATCAACCTAAGCATCTTTATTCAACACTCCTTTTCCATGCTTACCACTGCGGTGATAGGTGACAGTCGTTAACGGGAAAAACATTTTTATATAGGGTTATTGGTTGCATTTGAAGCAATATGTTTTACATCCAATCAAAGTTAGGATGTTAACAAATAAATCAGACAATGCAAAAGCAATTTATTGATATTACCAAAGTTATGGTCTTGAAATAAAATCCTGAGTCCTCAATGTCTGAGACAAGACCGAGACTATCAAAAAGTGGTCTTAAGACCGGTCTCAAGTACTACAACACTAACTAAATGTAACTGCAAGTCATCCAACAGTTGTTAAGATATTTCAGCTTGGACCAAACAGACTGTCAGGAGTTATGCTAGACATGGAGACAAAGCAGCAGTTAAACAGTTTATTGATTGAGGTAGCGTGAGCAAACTAGGCAGGGTGAGGTGGCAGGGAGTCTCTTTCCAAGCAGTGGAGCGTGAGGGCTGGCTGGCGTGGCTGGCTGGAAAGTTTGGATCTCTGCTTTGAGAGGACTTGGAACTGACTGGCAGGCAGAGCAGGTGATCTGGAGACAGGCAGAGAGAAGTTAGTAAAAGCAAACTGGTTGCTAGATTAACAGGCTTAAGGCTAGATGCTAAGGTAAGACCTACGGTACGCAAATTAACAATCCAGCAGGGAATGGAAGTCTGGTCTGTCCTTAAGAGGTAGGGATGGCTGATCAGGAACAGGTGCGTGATTACCAGCAGGTGCAGCAAGTGCCAACTCAGGAACCCAGACATGCCCAGGATTCAAAAAACTGAGAGAAGAAAAAAAACAACAAAAAAAACAACAAAAAAAACACATAAAAACACACTCACTCAGTCCCAAACTCAGGTGAAAGATGCAGGGTTCATGACAGTACCCCCTCCCCAACAGGTGCCTCCGGGCGCCCTACCAAGCCTCTCAGGATGCAGCCTATGAAAGTCCCTGACGAGGGAGGCATCCAGGATCTGCCGGCGGGGAACCCAGCTCAGGGCCATAGCCTCCCCAGTTGACAAGGTACTGGAACCCACGGCGGCGCAAGTCCAAAATCCGGCGGACTGTATAAGCGGGGAAGCCATCAATCATCTGTGGAGGTGGAGGAGGGGGAGGAGCCAACGGGCTGGTGGAAACAGGTTTGATGCGTGAGACATGGAACGAAGAGTGGACCCGAAGGGAGCGAGGCAGTTTGAGCCTGACCACCGTGGTGATATTGGTGGTGGTGATTGATAACTGTCCACTACAAACGGGCCAATTAATCTGGGCGACAGCTTCTTAGAGTCTGTCTTAAGGGGCAAGTCCCTGGTGGAAAGCCAAACCCTATCCCCCAGAGTAGTTGGGCGCCGGGGTGCGGTGGCAGTTGGCAAAACGTTGGTCCCGACCTGAGGCCTTGAGAAGACCCGAACTGGCCACTTTATTCTGGGCACAAGTAGAGCAGGCAGAGACGAAAGACTTGGTGTCCGCCTCCTTCTGACTGGGTCTGGTACAAAAGACGTCCAGGGGGGGCGTTACCTGGATCAGGTTGAGTGCATAGGGCTGCCCTGACCTCATTCTCAATTCCCCAGGTCACCACCCCAACAACACAAGTGGCAGGCACAACGGTGTCAGGAGGCGGGCGAGACTCCTCCTTGGAAAACAGAGAGGGCATCGGGCTTGATGTTGCGAGAGCCGGGCCTGTAGGTCAGAGTGAAGTTAAAAAAAAACAACCAAAAAACAAGGCCCAAGGCTTGGCGGGAGTTGAGGCGCCTGGCTGAGTGGATATATTCCAAATTTTTATGGTCTGTCCAAACGACGAATGGCTGTTCCGCCCCCTCCAGCCAGTGCCACCATTCTTCCAAAGCCAACTTGAAAGCCAGCCGCTCGCGGTTACCTACATCGTAGTTGCATTCTGCAGGAGAGAGACGGTGAGAAAGAAAAGCACATGGGTGAAGTTTCCCATCCTCTACTGACCGCTGTGAAAGTACCGCCCCTACCCCTAGGTCAGAGGCGTCTACTTCCACCACGAACTGCCTGGAGGGGTCCGGCTGAGTGAGGATGGGGGCCTCCGTGAAGCGCTCAGATCCGCAAACGCTCCTTCAGCTTCTGGTGTCCACTAAAAACTGTTTAGTAGTAGAGGTAAGAGTGGTTAAAGGAGCAGCCACACGGCTGTAGTTGCGGATAAAACGTCTGTAGAAGTTGGCAAAGCCCAAAAAACTTTGCAATTGCTTACTGCAAGAAACGAGACTGGAGGCGTGGAATTCACATTTCTCAGCCTTGACAAATAACTGTTTCTCCAGGAGTTGTTGGAGCACTCGACGGACATGCTGGACGTGGTCAGACAGGTTACTGGAAAAAAATCAGAATGTCGTCCAAATACACAAAAACCCCAATATGTCTCTGAGAACACTGCGGGGGCATAGGTGAGCCCAAAGGGCATCACCAGGTACTCAAAATGTCCAATAGTGGTGTTAAAGGCGGTCTTCCATTCATCACCCTCCCTAATACGTACCAGATGGTTGCGGAGGTCCAGCTTAGCAAAGATGGTGGCTCCCTGGAGAGAGTCAAGTGGTAAAGGGTATTTATTCTTCACAGTTATGTTATTCAAACCTCTATAATCGATGCAGGGGTGAAGTGTCTTGTCTTTCATATCTACAAAGAAGAAGCCGGCTCCTAGGGGTGATGAGGATGGACGAATTATCCCAGAATCCAGGGATTCCTCAATATAGGTCTCCATAGCCTCTCTTTCTGGCTTAGAGATACTATACAGGCGACTGTTGGGAAGTGGGGTGCCAGGCAGCAGGTCTGTGGCGCAGTCATAGGGGCGATGAGGTGGTAGGGATAGCGCCTGCTACTTACTGAAAACCTCCTGGAGGTCATGATAATCTTCGGGAACGAGGGAGAGGTCAGGCGCGGGTGGGCTGGCTACCTGGCGGGAGAGAGATTGGGGCAAGGCAGACTGCAGACAACAGGCATGGCAATGGGTTATCCAACTAGTAATCTTAGCTGAGGTCTAGTCAACACTCGGGTTGTGTTTTACCAGCCAGGGATGGCCCAAGATAACAGGAACAAAAGGTGAGTCAATTACGTAAAATCTTCTTTTCTTGATGGTTACCAGACAACTGGAAATGTACGGGGCTGGTTTGGTTTGTAACTGTAGCGAGGAGGCGCCCATCAAGCGTGTTGACCTCCAACGGCTCAGCTAGGGGTTCAGTGGGAAGTCCCAACTGCTTGGCCAGTCTGCCATCTAGAAAACTGATCAGCCCCAGAATCGATAAGAGCTAGTACATCAACTGACTGACCTTTCCAGATGAGAGTGGCATGAAGTTGAGTTCTAGGATGGGAAAATAAAGGTAAAACTGTCCGGCTCGCCAGGATCTGCCCCTCCCCTAGCGAGCCCTCCTGTTTGACGGATGCTGTGCTCTCCGCCGCTCCCGGCACCGGTTGTCCACACGAATTGCTAATGAGATCAAATCATCCAGGTTAGTGGGTTCGGGGTACGAAATAAGTTCATCCTTAATTAACTCAGACAATCCCTGAGAGAAAGCCGCCTGCAGTGCTTCACTGTTCCAGCCACACTCAGCTACTAGGGTGCAAAACTCAATAGCATATTCTGCTACACTGCGTGCCCCCTGCCGAAGAACTCTAAGTCTCTTAGAAGCATCTTTACCTCGAATGGGATGATCAAAGACCTTACGCATCTCAGTGGTGAAGGCGGCGTAAGAAGCAGTCGTAGCAGAAGGTTGGTCCCAGTGAGCTGAGGTCCAGGCCAGTGCCTCCCCTTTGAGCAGCCCCATCAGGTAGGCAATCCTGGCCCGGTTGGTGGAGTAGGTCCGGGGCTGTTGGTCAAAAACTAAACCACACTGCATCATAAAGGCTTTGCACTGATCTAAATTCCCATCATACCTTTCTGGCGTCGGGACCCAAGGTTCCCGATCTACTGGGGTGCAAGGAGGTGAACTGGCTGGATCAGGTATAGTTGGAGCGGCCGGAGCTGGGGCTGGGGCTGGGGCTGCAGCTGCGGCTGGGGCTGCAGTGCCAATCTGGGTCTGCAGGCTGACAACACTCCTAGTTAACTGCTGTAATCCCTCCGTGACTTCCCAGAGAACCCGGCTGTGCTCTCCAAGTACATTCTCCTGTGTGATGCAGACACTGAGACAAAGCAGCAGTTAAACAAGGCAGGGGGAGGTGGCAGGGAGTCTCTTTCCAAGCAGTGGAGCGTGAGGGCTGGCTGGCTGGCGTGGCTGGCGTCGCAGAACAAAAACACACCAAGCATGTCTCACTCACCCAAAGGAAAAAAAACAAATCAAAACACACTCACTCAGTCCCAAACTCAGGTGAGAGATGCAGGGTTCATGACACAGACAGACCGACATTGCCATCCCTAAAGGCACAGGAATTTGGTCTTGATTATGAAGAAAATGCGCGTTGGGTTTGAGGCTCAATAACCACGAATCCTTCCAATATTTATGTTTTGGTGGTGAAACATGGCTGTTTCAACCATGATTCAGCCAGATTTGGCAGAGTCTTAGAGGCAGTTGAGATAGTTGAGTTGTTGGCACAGGGCCAGGTTGGCCATGTTATGTTTGAACTCGGCCAGTAGAGACTTGGCATTAGACTTGTAAATTTGTTCTCCAAACATGTACTGCTGTAATGCCATATCGACTAATCTTAATCTGATTAACACATTTTGCAGCAGGAAATGAGGGAACCAGTGTACAAAATGGGATTGCTCATCTGATTTGTCGAGAAATATCCAAATGAAAGGTAAAGATGTCTTTGTTAATCACCATCATATTGCCTATTTTAACTCAATATGGTTTGAGTCTAGAGTACAAAGCTAACATTAGAGTGTCAATTACCACCTGGCTATATGACTCTCAGTTGATGGTTCTTTATTACCAAGGTGGTATGTTGACTGTGAACTAGGTAATTGACGTTGGTCAATCCAGCAGGAGAGTATGCCTGGGAGGCAACGGATATATGGATGAATGGATTTAGATGTATTGGAGATTAGACATACTGTGAGATATGGGAGCAATATTTTTCTAGTGTGACATCATATTGAACAGAAAGGTGTGTCCTATGTGTGCATAAAGTTTAATCTTGTAACCACTAATTCCATGTGTTCAGTTAAACTGTGTAATAAGAAGATGTAGGTCATTCATTAGCTGTAGCATTATTTGCTTTTGGCAGCGCTGTATAATGAATTTATGCCCTCACTGAATTCTACAAAATCCTTGTTTTTGCTTAAATGTCTGCAGTTAAATAAAATAGTTTTAATCTTAACATTTTATAATATAGTGCATTAATAATGTGTCCAGGACCATTGTCTGCATTTGAAGCAATGGAAAATGTCATCTCTACAAAAAGGGCAATGCTAGAGATACTGGGTTTCAAGAGGAGACAGACAAATGATTTTGTCCTCCAGGTGCATCAACAGTGCTTGCAGAGGTTGCATGTTTGTAGGTATGTAAAACAAAGATTTTTCGGTTGTTGTCTTCTTGATTGATTGCTTGAATCTTTCCTTTATATCCTTACAGTCCCTGTCAAGGACAAATAATTATTCAAAACACAATTTCATGTCAAACAGACAATCAGGAATTCAACTGTTTATTTAATTGATCAATTTGTTGCTTGTACTGATCAGTCTATGGCTGGGCTTACACTCAAACATCCATTTAGACTACTCCTTTTACCTGAGCTGTATGTCTTTGGACTCTGGAAACTTAAGCACCTGGAAGAGCCCCATGCAAACCTGGTGACGGAACACAGCACCATGGACAAGATTCGCAGTCATGACCTTCTTCCTTTGAGGTATACTGGGGTATACTCATTTTCTACATTTTTCTCTTTCAAACACACTAGTAATGAAGCCACTACCTGTATATTTAAATTATATTTAAATGTACCTTCTTTTTAACTATAATGAAAAGAAATAATCTTCTGAACATTTACTGACTTAACTTTTGTCCTGAAGGGCTAGGACAAGAAAGAACACATTTATTTGGGTAGCATTGTTGATATGGGAGGGCAAATGAGTGTGAGTGTTAACAGTTATGCAACACTTTGACACTTTCTTGATTTTAGGTGCCTTGTTTTATACAAAAAAAGCATCTTCTTCAATAGATTTCTCTTTGTATTATTACTGATATGGATTATTGATGAAGCTCATAACGAATATGTTTTCAGAGATGTACTGATGTACTGTCAGAGGTTGACCATTAATGATGTCATGTGGAGTTCAACGAAGCATACCTCTGTAAAAATTCCCTTAAACGCCCACTAAGTCACCCCACTGTATAAGCTACATATTCCCATGGGGAAACCTTTGAAAATGTGTATACCACAACCTTCAGCACAATTTACATACTGTACATAGCTCGCTGGTTGTAAAACCTGAGGTCAGACTGAACAAGCATGAAAACACACTGCTAAGAAACATCAATATAAGGCATTACAACATTCAGTGAGCATTCATAAATAAGTAAGAAAACTGAGCCAATGAACTCCCTTTATGAGACATGTTGTTCAGAATTTTACATCTGCAGTGATTGTGAGCTAAAAACAAACTGCAGTGAAACACAATTACCAAATAAAAACAAGGAAATCATCACACAGAAGGATTAACCCTGGTCTACCAAGAAAAGTTTTGGGGAAAAAACTTTAGATGAGTTTCCTTGCACTGCATCCTGCATACTCCGGTAAGCTGGCTGTTGTGTAAAGCCAGTACAAAGTACAGGGGATCTATTATGGCTGCAGACCTTGTTATGTAGCAGCATTGCCAACATTTTATAGAAAGTTACAACCAGGTGAAAATGTCCCTACAATATGCTTATGTTTCTATCTGGAACAAATGGTGGACTATTCCAGCCAGAATTTCAACATGCCTGTAAGACTTGAAAGCATTTAAATTGTAAGAAACAGATCGTAATTTGACCTATCATTTTTACTTATAACACAACAACAACAAAAAAGAATTGCAGCGATAGCCTACACTTTTTTTCAAGAGACATTAAATAGTGAGTAAGCCCTGGCTCTACCAAGAGTAGGTGTATTTGCAGCATAATGCCAATGTACAGGCAATGATACTGTTTTTCTGAGGTGGTCAAGCACTTTCCCACTTCGCATTGCACACACACCGTCATTAAAGTTTGGTGTAACTTTCTGTATCTTCCTTTAGATTAAGCCTTTTTGGTACACACATTTATTCTTATGAACACAAGAAAATACATTTAAAAGTTGTTAAATTTTAGTTTAATGAATGCAGTGTCTGAAAATGTACTACATGCTATAGAACACATAAATATGTCATCCACAGCATGCACACTGATGTGCCATGGAGGCCAGTTGAAAGAGCCACAGTCTACAGCAGTAGGTGAGTTTACTAATTAGCACACCTCTACCCAGAGAGAACTAAATAATGAGAGTCTTCTTCTGGTATGGTGTTTGTTTTCAGCAAGGCCTGCCTGCAGACTCTGTGCTCTCAGTGGCACATGGTGTGAAAACAGTGAAGAGCCAGTTCCCCTCCTCGCCCTGCTGCCTGCATACAGCGCGGTTTAATTTCAGCACCATGGACAGAGTCCGTCAGTCTGGTACCCCTTGACAGCGTGAAGTTGAGAACGACTGGGTGCTGTGTTGTTTCAGTGCATTTAAAATTTGTCTCAACACATAACACGTACTTATCCTGTTGTACATGCCATTCCCTAATAAACCGTTAATCACACACACACACACACACACACACACACACACACACACACACATATATTATATATATATATATATATATATATATATATATATATATATCTTCCAAGCAGATCTCTAAGGCACTTCCACAGAAGATGGACGGTATAGATACACTTTAGTTGGGTGTCTTTAGTTAATAAAATCAACATTTAATTAATACTGAGGGCCATCCTTGTGTGTTACCTGGAGCTGGCAGTGTCCAAGTCTCATTTTAAGTAAATTAGCACCCTGTCTGTATAAGAACGTGTAATATAAAATGTAAAGAAAAAATGTTGAACTCGCTTTTTCCCCCCAGGCTATTTCATTTACTTCTATGCTCTGCTGCAGCCAACCGGGAAAACCCCTCAGAGATGGACAGACCGCATCTTTCACTGGGACAAGCCGTGAAGCATCCCTTTCGTTTTGCCATCTGGAAAAATGAAACTGTGCTCTCCACCGTGTAACTACGCGATCCCAGACCGTCTGTCAGTTTTACCGACCTGCTACCGGCAGGCTTGATAAAACGACTCTGGATGGGATATGGCTGTAACATAATGTTCTCTAACAGAATTCACTCCAGGCTATGATTGTCTTTCGCCGTTTTATTTTCTTATTTGAAGCTACACTAATCCTGGCTTTTATCGTTCTGTGTCGCTGAATGATCGCGTTTTCTTCTGTGGGTCTCTCTTCCTTTCCTTCCCCGTGGCCAGATGTTTATGCTCATGAGGTCGTGACGTTAAACATCCACAACGATGGTTTTAGCGGGTCCCCAGGGCGCCATCAGCGTCCCACAGTTGTAGGCGGCCTGGAGTTTCCCCTCTGTCAGCTAGCCTACACGCTGCTGCCTTGGTGGGACGCACCGAGTCTGGTTTGGACGCGGAGTGGACCAATGCGTCAGGATGACGATTGGGTTTGTAATGCAATTAGTTAGGTGCAGACAGAACCTCTCTGGCTTTCTTACTCTCACTTTAGTCTGCCTCACCAATCAAGACAACCAAAAGCACAACAGATCAACAATCAACCCCTTCTTCCCTTGAAACACTTTCTCTTTTTGAGCACATACATTTATGTTAAACATATTTATGTTAAACATAACTGACCGGGGAGCGTGGTGACAGCTTACCCGGGGGGGACCACGACCGCGAAGAAGTGCGCGCTAGCACACGCACGCGAATCCTTTGAATATTATGCTTTTCCCTACATGAACCCCGGCCAATCCTTATCAATAGACTACAGCTATGAGATTCAGTCTTACAGTAAGTTAAAGACGGCAGACAGGGAAAAGTGGGAGATAGAGAGGAGAGGGGTAGAGAGAGAAAAAAAGAGGGTGTGTGGGTGAGAGAGGGAGAGAGAGAGACGGGGCGCGCATGTCCAGTTCTTCCATGCAGACTGCTCTCCCAGCTCGCCAATCATTCTGGCGAGTTTCCCCACTCTTTTTCTCTCCCAGTCTTTACATGTGCACCGGACGCACAGCTCTCTCCCAAGCGGACACTGCAGGGGAAGAAACGAACGAGCCCACCATGGAATAGGAATACTGCTGGACAAAACGGGGGAAAAACCTCTCTCATCTTTCTTCTTTCCCCTTCTTTTCCTTGTCGCCTTTTTCTCTCTCAGCATCTCCCCCTCTCCCTCTCGATGTCTCTCAACAGTTTCTGAAGGGATTGAAGGAAAGAAAAATGAGGATTATTATATTTTCTTGGCACTTTCTCGGGGTGTATTCCGCCCTTTGGGGGCTGACGACAGGGGCTTTCCCCAGCTCAGTGCAGATAGGTGAGTTGGAGGATTACTGATTTTACGCACGGGCACTCAGATCTGACATCCTACACTGAATATTATTGGATTTTAGCGGGCAGCATTCCCCAAGAAAAGGGGGCGCACCGGGACCCCTTCCAAAACACAAAATCATCGCACAACTCTAGACATTCACACAGGAATGATGGAACAACAGAACAAACAAGTATAGAAATACATTTTCCATCTGGTGCATATTTTCCTTACTGCTTTTTATCCAAGATATTTTGCGTAAAGGGGAGATTGGCGTCTTTGTCTCTGACTCATGGTTTAAAAACGCAAACTAACTCTTTCACTCTCTCTTTCCGTTTACTATATTTGCATGTATTTTAAAAGCTGATTTGGGCTCATGAATGTTTCAGCGATCTTTTTCCCCTCTTGTCTTCTTCACTGTTTAGACACTGCAGCATTCTCTCTCTCTCTCTCTCTCTCTCTCTCTCTCTCTCTCTCTCTTTCTCTCTGCCCTTTTCCAGTTATCTTCATGTCAGTGCGGGAAAAACCTGTCTTTCAACCTGCCTTATAGATCAGAGATAAAGTTAACTAAATCTGGATCATCTTTGGTGTGCTCAGTGCATATGGACCACACAGGCATGGAGTTTCTCTTTTCTATCTCTCTTACACACACACATACATTCCTACAGACATGTGTGTGATAATGAATGCACTGCATCACTCCTTGTGGGGGGCAGCAGGGAGGTCCTATAATGAGATTCGGCTCCTTGACTCTGTCTCCTTACAGCTGCCAATAGACTTAATGCTCTAAATATTTCCTGTTTGACACACACACACACACACACACACACACACACACACACACACACACATATTTGCACAGGTTTTGCACATGTACAGTTTTCACATACAGTTATAAACATGCACACATACTGCATGCGGTGCACACAGCTGCAAATATGCATTCACATTCATGTGCAGCATGTGGGTGCACACTTTTACACAGGAAAGCATACATGTGCGTGCACACACACACACACGCATGCATGCACATACATACTATGAGAAGCACATGGGATCGTGCAGAAGCACACACAATGAACTCTTTCCTTCTCTCCCACCGATGGTCCTCCTCAAACACTCAAAAATACATACAGGATCATTCGGCTCTCCAGCAGTTCACTTGAGGAGTCATTTGCATATCTCTGCATTGCACTCAATGCATTGCATTGAGTGTAATGTCAGTGGAAGCACACACGGCACCTTTTTTTCTTTTCTTTTTTGCGTGCCTGTGCGTAAGAGAAACAAAGATTGACACAGATGAGAATGTTTGTGAAATTTCCTCGAGATACTGGCGCGTGTCATGTTGGGACATATCTAGACTCCTCACCTAGTTGAGTGTGTGAATGTGTGTGTGCACTAAAGTGGAGTTCAACCCATTTAACAGAAATCACGTTTTTATCCCCTTTGCACAATTCACCAAATCTAATGTGAGTTTGATGTAAATTAAACCACATTAATCATTGCAAAAAATATGCTTTGCACATTACCCACACATATTCAGGATTTGTTGTCTTTGTGTATGCATGTGTGTGTTTAGTGTCTGGCTTTGGTTACCATATCTACAAAAGAGAAATTCTAAGAAACACAGAGAAAGAAACAAGGGAAGGTAATGCAAACTTTGAACATAAATAAGACATGGACAGACACAAAGATAAGTGTTATGTGGTAAGGATTGCCTGTCCAATATGCTCTGCCTACACACTCCTCCCCTGTCATCTTTTCTCCCTCCCCCCCTTCTCTCTCTCTCTCTCTCTCCTGATGCAATGTCAAAGCTTCACAGTCTGCTAGTGTAATCCAATTCAGTTGAGTTGAGTCTGATTCAGTTAAACTTAAGTCACATCGGTTTATTTCAATTACTTTCATCCTACTGCATGAATCTATAACATTTACATAACAAACACATTTATATCAGTGGTATCTACAGCAGTTCAACAAAACAACACGTCTATTCAGGTAATTAAGTTTTAGACACAGAAGATGACCCTTATCTCTCTTTTCCACAAATATTCACATGTTCTTCCTCTCCCTCTTAACTCTGATATTTAGGGCTCTCTACTGTCAGCTTCACTGTTTCTCATCATCTCTTCTTCCCCTCTAATTCTCATTTTGTCAGATGGGCCATATTGAGGGATACCCTCATTTTTAAAGGCCAACTGACAATTAGCACTCACCTCCCTCTTCCTTTCTTTTTGCATGGCCCATGCTCTTCCTTTATTTAGCTGACACTTTCTGATTTGGCCTTCATCCTCTGTTTTCTTTTATGCCCTCTCCAACTCATTATCTCTTTCACTGCCTTCCTGTCGGCTTTGCTGTCGCCCTTTTCTTCTCCTCTCCTTTCTCCCGCTCTATTTTTCTTAGATTTCATCAATGAAATGCAGTGTGGGTATCTGTAAGTGCGTTTGTACTCGTGTTTATGTGCATTTGTGAGTGAGGATGTGCCGAAAGACAAATCACCTTTTGTAACAAGGCTAATGAAGATCTTGGTTTTTTTCTCTCTCTCCCCCTCCTCTGTTTTCTCTGCCCTCCCTCCCCATCTATCTTTCTTTCCCCACATTACTCCCTTTCTTCCTGTCTCTCTCCCTCTCTCACCATGCTCCCATCCAACCCCTCTCCACCCTACATTAACTCACTTCCTCTCCTCTCCATCATTTTCTTCTCCCCTCTGCCCTCTCTAGGTGGGTTGTTCATTAGGAATACTGATCAGGAGTACACAGCTTTTCGACTAGCTATCTTCCTACACAATACCAGCCCAAATGCTACGGAAGCTCCCTTTAACCTGGTCCCACACGTCGACAATATAGAGACTGCCAACAGCTTCGCCGTAACCAATGCATGTAAGTATTCAAACCTGTGTGTGTGTGACTGAAAATGAGGCTGAAGTAAATACATGCAACTGTTTTCGCCCTTTCTTTCTCTCCATCTCTGACATCCTTAATCGCTTGCTCTCGCCATGTTTGTTTTTCAGTCTCTATCTATTCTCTTCTGATCGCACTGTTGGATAGAGATGTATTTAATTAGGGACTCGAGTTGTTTAAAGGATCAGGTTGCATCTTCATTATCTGTGTTGAAAAAGTCTCATCTGCAACACTTGCTGTGCAGATTGTCATTTTGAAATGTTGATTTTAGACACTGTGAAGTACTTTTTAATAATGCAAGGCAAGGCAGTTTGAGGTAATGTCAGTGGTGCCAGCAATTATGGCCAATATGTTATTCATACTTTCGCTCCTCTATGTTATTTACACGTATTACCACTTAGCACTATCTATCCCATTTGCAAAAAAATTCAGCCTATTACAAATATAAACTTTGTCTCGGAACAGTTGCAGACAGTGATTAAAATGGGTCCTTTGTGTTCTGAACAGAGGGGAACAGTTGGTACTTGTGTCCTCTCTGATCTTTTGAAGGATGACAGCTATTTTTTTTTACCATCCCTCTCTTTTCTCTGGGAGATGAGATATAATCCTTTACACTCCCTCTTGACCGGGAAGCCTGCGAGAGAGTTTGTGATGTTTGTGCTTAACTAGTCAGTGTTAACAAGGCTATGCGGGCAGCCAACAGTTCAGAACTGCTCTGCATGCTACAGGTGTCTGTGTGTGTGTCTGTGTGTGTGTGTGTGTGTGTGTGTGTGTGTTTAAATATTAAAAATGGTGTACTGAAGGTTTCCATTTATCACGATACGTGCAATTTATTTTTTATGTTTATGTATTTTCCTTTACAAAAAGACTACTCATGTTGTGTCATAAAAACAATACCACTGTTCACAGTGTCTCAAAAATCTTAAAAAGACTTAGAAGAAGAATTATCTGGGTCTAGCCCTTGTTGACCATAGAGTCAGCACTACCCATTGAACATCTTTGTTTGGACTAGTTGAGGAAGTGTAACTTCTTTCCTTCAAAACTTGTGGAAAGCACTGCAATTTACTGCAAATGATCTATAATATTTTGTCATCACGGAAAAAAGATTGTTGACATAATCATTGTTAATGTTTCATCTGCTAGGACTGAGAGATGACCTTACATGGCAGGTTTGCTTACTCTAGCTTCTTGCTTACAGTGATAGAGCTTTGCTGTGACTGACGAAGTTGGGTTATTTGCTTTCTGACATCTGCTGGTTTATGCCACACTACTCTAAATGCCTTTGATGTTGATGTGTGTGTCTCTGTGTGTGCTTGTGTGTGTTGAGATGAACTAATCTCTAAAGGTCACCCTTGCTGTAATTCTCAGTGCCTGAGAGGGGACAAAGGTTCTTTTATAACTTGAAAGACCGTCATAAAGTTTTTTTAATACATGTAGCTGAGTTATTTGCAAAATTTGAGTAGTGGGGCTAAGCAGTGTGTGGTGGTTATTTTGATGAAGAGCATAACATGATGATAATATGAAAATCAGTTTATCTTGCTGTAAATTACAAATGTGTTCAGAGCAAAACTTTATGCACTGTCCTTACAAGCTGAATTTCCCTCATGGGTATCATATCAAATCATATCATACCCCATCATTAACACAGTCCTATGGTGCATCAAGCCTATTTTAGGGATTTTTTGAAGGGATTGCACTGTAATGTTTCACCTACTTATGCCATTAAAATTTAACAAATAGACCACTGGGGCTGTTAACTAGGCAGGGCGAACAAAATCAATACAGTATAATACAACAATACAGTACTTCTCCTCATGATATTACATCATTTTGTTTAACAAGATTCTTTAAATATCTGTAGGTTGTAAATGAAAGCTGATACAAGCTGCTCCATTGTCAAACAAGGCTTCTGAAAATGTCAAAGAAATGGTCCTCCAAAGAGTGCTTCTTGAATATCATCTAGCAATTGATTCATGTTGTGTTGCACATGAGTAAAATAAATTTTGACATTTTATATCCCTGGAGGGTATTATTATCGGATTTACCTACAGCCAAATGCAAGTCACATAGTGTCATAAATCCAAATGGTGTAATGCATTTTCAAAGGTTGTTTGTTTCCTGCCCCCTGTAGTGTAACCCCACATTAATGAATAGACAAGTTAATACAACCTACAATGATAGGAAAATTAATAGTTCATCTATTGCCTCCTACCCGCAAACATCATCACATGATGCGCACAATTTATCTCTGTTTTCTGTTAAGCTGTGTGAGTGGGAAGGTACACACTGAATACACATCCGGTAGCTTTCTTATAATGTCAGGGGAGAAGTATGAATTTTATTAGTGATGAGTAAAGGGCTGTGCTGAGGGGAAATATTGGCACAATCAGTTCTGAATGTACAATATTTATGCATACACTGAAGCCCAACTAACTAAGATGTGTTACAGTGGGTGTCTCGCTGCCTGCCTGTGGTTTAGTTATAATAAATTCATGCTGTGCAGCCAAACCTTAAAACCCAGATAACATTATTTTAACTTGATATCCTAAAGTTCTCATAGGTATCAAGTGTGTTTGACTAAATGTTGTAAAATGATGCACTATAATATTGCTGTTTGATTGATGTGGTGGAAATCTGAATATAAAGATTGAACACAAGCTTGTCTTTATAGATTTTATTTAAGCTGACTGATGAAGAGGGCGTTTCATGCTGTAAGTCTCTATAATCAGTCAGGCATGTACACAGAAACAACTGTGGTTAGCAGGTAGAGGAGAAGAAGGTTGCTTATCTGTTAGAACTGATTTAAACTGGATGTGTGGTCAACACAGACAGCTTACGCGACAAGTCAGTAAGGTCAGTCAGAGTGCAAAAGTTCAGCAATAAGCTTCCACACAACATAGTCACACAATAAAAGACACACAACAAAATTTTCAATTACAAAGAATGGTGCAGCCATAATTCTCTCACTATTATATAGGATAAAGCCAACAATATTTTTTATTATTGTCAAGAAGACCAAAATGGAGAAAGAATTTTACCAAGCCTAACGTTGCTAATCTATCCATCGTCAACCACATATCCTGCGTACAGGGTTGCGGGGGCTGGACCCAATGCCAGCTGACATTGGGCGACACAGATCACTAAAGTTAATACAATTTATCCTGAGGACAACATGAATGTCTGTACCAAATTTAGTGTCAATCCTTCCAATAGTTAGAAAAAAATGTAAACCTTATAGTGGCTCTAGACGAAAAGTCAGGTGATCAACAAAGTCAGTAAGATTCATTCTCTGGACACCATTGATATCTGTACTTAAATTCATGCTAGTTCATCCTTAAACACAAGTCAACAAGCCATGCTGTTGCACTGGCTGACCATGAACTTTGCCATGAACATGGCCGCTGTAGTTTATTTTGAGTCATTCTCATCTAAATACTGTGAATACTCAATATATTCACTAATGCACCAAATGTGTATTCCTCCATGGCTGAAAATAGTCCCCAACAAATGCACAATGGGTTCATGTTTTAGTAAAGTTTGCATAAAGCTACAGTGCCCAGCTGTTTGAGGAAACCCATTTAAAATTTGTGACCCAATTATGGGAAGATTTATGTCTTTAGTTGAAACAAATGAGCTTCGGGCTCAGAGAGGTTTTGAGAGACAGACTGACATATTGTTGGTTTTGGTCTTTGCAAATTCTACTTTGGTGTTTCTGCTCAGCTACCAACTGTCTTGCTGTTTGTCTTCCTCTCTTACCTGTGTGTCTTCCCACTTCCCTTTCCAGAGCTTATCTCTGCCTATCTATTGTCTCTCTACCTTTCTCTTACAGGTGTACACCCCCCCCACACACACACACACAAAAACTCATACAGTCATTGGGCCATTACAGTAGTGAAAATGAAGCTCTTCTATGTGAACTGTCTTCTCTCCCGCAGGCTACACATAACAACCATGACCACTTGACTCTATTTCTCTCTGTCCCTCCTCCTCTTTCTTTCTTGCCCATTTGCTTTCACACTTGTCACGTCTATCTAATTCTCCTCTGTCATTCTCCCACCTTGTCCCCTCATCTCCTCAGATTCTTTCTTGCTTTTTCTGCTCCTCTGTTTTTTGTCATGTTTTGCCATCTCTCCCCTCCACACAGGCGTGGTGAATGGATCTCTAAATTAATCCCTGACTCTTGCTCTGGGTGGTGAGCAACGCTCCGCATTAGAATAGGGAATTCTGCCTCTGACCTTGGCTAGTTCCTCTCTATTCTAGTATTCAGGAAGCGTGAACGGATCATAAAAATCCCTGGTCCCCGTCGTTTTCCCTATTCACTGAGGAATACAACCCATTTCCTTGTCCCAGGGTCACATTCCATATATCCTGTCTTCCTTGGTTTTTTCCTATGTGCACATGCATACATGTGTGTCTGTCTCTTTTGTACTATATAGACAGGTATGCATAGGTGTGTATTTATGTCTGACTTTCTGTATAAATGTGTGCATGTGTGTGTCTTTTTGATGTGCCTCAGCCAGAGAAGAACACTATTCCACTGGGCTCACCCCTGCTTCTCAATTCCCTGGTTTATAGAAAATAATGCACATGGATTAGCATGACCAAAAGCTGCCATGAAAAGTGTGTGTGGTGATATTTCTGTCCATATTGAATGCATGTATGCATGTGTGTCACGGAGGTGCATGGGCACATATGAATGTGACTGTGTGTGTGTGTGCGCAGTGAAAGGAAATTGCTGAGACTGAGTGTGATAAAGATAGACAGAAAGTGATAAGGTGAATTAGGGATGGAGGAGGAAGAAATGGAGAGGAAAGGATTGTAACAGAGAGGTGGTTATGCCTGGTTTGTGGTGACGGCGGTAAATGTGATTCTTGATATGTGGGATAATACTTCTATTTTAATTAATTTCATGTCCAGAGCTAAGACAAATGATAAATGCTTCAATTCTGTTCTGTACCTACTATACTACAGTAATGATA